GGGGGGCTGAGGGTGCCTGGAGGCGTTTCGGGGAAAGGGTGGGTTTTGTTTGTTCTTCTCCTTCCGATCTGGAAGAAGGAAGGCAGCCCAGCTGCCAGCGGTGGCCGGACACAGGCAGGGATGTGTTTCCCCAGAGCTGGGAATGAAGTTGAGGTCACCACGTGCCTGCAGCCATGGCCAACCCCCCTCCCCCCCCACTGAAGCCTTTGGCTTCCAGGGGTGCCTTTGTACCCCAGCACCCCAGTCCTGGGGTGTTCCTACACCTGTGAGGTTCCCCCACTCTGAGGGTGAGGGTCATGGTTGTCCATGACTGTGAGAGCCCTGTGGGGCTGGGGTAGGGGACCAGGGGGGGACTGTTAGTGGCAATGACAGGGCCATGTGCTGTCCTTCCAGCACAGGGAGCAGTGACCCCTACTGCATCGTGAAGATTGATGATGAAGCCATCATCAGGTGAGTGGCTCCTTCTCCCTGCCTGGTCCCCAAACCTGCAAGGTCCTCCCTCCATCTACCCTGCTGCAGACACAGGATCATTATCATTAATTACTCACTCCCTGCTTTGTGCTGAGCTGCTCCTCCAAATGTGGACCACGATGTCTCACAGCTCAGGGTCACCCCCCACCCTATAAGCCAACCCTCATGTCTTGCCTGCCCACAGCCACAGGACAGGGACCCATCTCCTGCCCCCAGCTGTGTGTCACCAACAGCAGGAAGGTTCCCAGGGGTGGGAAGGTGGGAAATGCCCCAGTGAGGGAGTCCCTGTCTCTCTTCCCCCCCTATAATCACTGGTGCCATCTGCCCCACAGGACTGCCACAGTGTGGAAGACACTGTGCCCCTTCTGGGGGGAGGAGTACGAGGTGCAGCTCCAGCCCACCTTCCACAGTGTCTCCATCTATGTCTTGGATGAGGATGCTCTCAGGTATGAGCAGGTGGGCTGCAGGGCATGGTGGGGGGGGCTGTGCTCAGGGGCTGGCAATGATGGCTGCCTGCATGCTCAACTCCAGAGTAGACACTGGAGAATCCACACCTGTCCATGCCAGCTTGGGCTTTAGGACACAGGTGAAGTTTGCTCTCGAGGTTTTATTCCAGTTTGGCAGCAAAGGGTGGCAGCTGTGCCCCTTGGGGACAGACACCTGGTGGTGGCCCCAGCCCAGGCTGCCTGTGCTCCTTGTCCCCCCCAAGAGGTGGGGCAGGGCTGTCCCCAGGTGCCAGCCCCACACCACGTCCTGCTCCTGGCTTCTGTTTTCCAGCCGTGACGACGTCATCGGGAAGGTCTGCATCACCCGGGAGATGCTGGCAGAGCACCCCAAGGGTAGGGCACAGCTGGCCAGGAAGGTCCCAGTGGGGACCTGTCTCCCATCCCTGCAATAACCCAGTCCTGAGGGCCCCTCAGTGACACCCCCCACCCATCAGGGTTCTCCCTTTTCCCACAGGCTACAGTGGCTGGGTGAGCCTGAGCGAGGTGGACCCCGATGAGGAGGTGCAGGGTGAGATCCACCTGCAGGTGGAGGTCCAGGGCAACCAGGGTGGCCGGCGGCTGCTGTGCTGCACTGTGCTGGAGGCCAGGTGAGGAGGGGCCGTGGGGGTGGTGAGGGAGCTGCATGGGACATTGTGTGAATCCTGACTGCTCCGTGACTCAGTTTCCCCACTCTTCTCGGGTGTCCGTCCTTGGGCACAGAGCGACCTCCACACCACCCAGCAACTGGCAGGGGTCCTGGGGCAGGGCTCACCTCACCTGCTGGGCTTCAGGGCATTCATCTCAAGATGCTGGGGAACCAAGGAGGGGAGTGGGTGCCTGTAGGTGTTTTGGGAGGACACTGGCAAGTTCCTTCTCTTCCCGGCAGGGACCTGGCCAGGAAGGACCTGAACGGCGCCTCCGACCCCTTCGTCCGCTTGCGCTACAACGGGAGGGTGCAGGAGAGCACTGTGAGTGCAGCCCCAGGTCATCACATCCCCACCCTGCCCGTGGGGCAGGTGAAATCATCACATCATCTTGGTTGGGAAAGACCTTTCAAATCATCCAGTCCAACTGTCCACCCAGCCCTGCCCAGGCTACCTCTGCCCCATGTCCCTCAGCACCATCTCCAGGGCTCTGAAACCCCTCCAGGGATGGGGACTCCCCCCCTGCCCTGGGCAGCCTGAGCCAAGCCCTGACAACTCTTCCCATGAAGAAATTGTTCCCAATATCCAATCTAAACCTCCCCTGGTGCAACTTCAATCCCCTTCCTCATGTTCTGTTGAATGTTTCTTGGGAGAAGAGATCAACCTCACCCCACCTGCCTTCCAGGGACCTGTAGAGAGTGAGAATGTTCTCCCTTAGCTCCCTCTTCTTCAGGGCTGGGCCCTAAGCCAGGAGCCATCCCTGTCCTCCAGCATCCCCAGCACTGTGTCCCCAGGGGGTGTCAGAACCCCCCAGGGCAGGGGGATGGAGCTGCTGCCTTTGCAGGTCATCAAGAAGTCCTGCTATCCCCGTTGGAACGAGACCTTTGAGTTTGAGCTGGCCGAGCCTGCTGGGGAGAAGCTGTGGGTGGAGGTGTGGGACTGGGACCTCGTGGGAAGGAATGACTTCCTGGGCAAGGTAAGCCCCCAAAGCCCATCCCTGCTGCTGGAGATCCTGCCCAACCTCCTGCCTTGCCTTCCCCTCCCAGGTGGTGTTCAGTGTCCCAGGGCTGGAGGCAGCTGGGCAGGAGGAGGGCTGGTTCAGGCTGCAGCCAGAGAAGTCCAAGCCAAGGGAGGATGAGTGAGTCTGACATGGGGTTCTTGGGGTGCTTCTGGGTGGTCCTGGTACCTTCAGGGGTACTGGGGAGGGGGTTGTTCCCAGGAAGCATCATCTCCTTGGAGAGGCAGCTCCTGGAAATGCCCTTGTCTGGGCTGGGGGGAAGGTGTAGAGGCAGCCCCACATCCTGCCCAAGCTTTCCCACCTCCTGCTTGGTGCAGTTCTCCATCCATCTCTCCCTCCCTCCCACCACCTCCCTGTACCACCTGTCCTGTGGTCCTGCAGGCACCGGGGCAGCCTGGGTTCCCTCCAGCTGCAGGTGAAGCTGCGGGATGAGACGGTGCTGCCCTCCCACTGCTACCAGCCCCTGGTCCAGCTCCTGTGCCAGGAGGTGAAGTCGGGGCGCCAGGTGAGGGGTCCAGGCAAAGCCCTACTGGGGCACCCACCTTCCTCTGGCTCTCTGCCAGGGCACACGTCTCCCTTGGGCCACCACATCATGGTGCCTCTCCCCACCAGGATGGCCAAGTGCACCTGGTCACCCTCCTGGATGAAACCACCACGGCCGAGTGCCGGCAGGAGGTCGCCATCAACTTGGTCAAACTCTTCCTGGGTCAAGGGTTGGTCAAGGAGTTCCTGGACCTGGTCTTCGAGCTAGAGCTGGCCAAGCCCTGTAAGGCTGGAGTGGGGAGCAGAGCCAGAGGTTTCCAGCCATCTCTTGGGACTGCAAAACCTCCGGGACCTTGTGTGGTGATTTATTTTTTGGGGGCGGTGATGGTTGAAGTTCTGCCATCCTGCTGTGCTCTGGGTGGGAACCTGTTGGGTTGATCCCCAGCAACTCATGGGCTGAGGCTGGTGGAGGGGCAGGTGGTTTAAGGTTAGGAAATCCTCCTAACTCCTGTGGAGATGGCTGGGGGTGGAGGCCACAGCCCTTCTAATTGCTCCCCATGATTGCAGTTGCCCAGTGGGTGACCTGTGGCTCTTCCCCAGGCCACAGACCCTCTCCTGTTTTGCAGGTGAGCCCAACACTTTGTTCCGGAGCAACTCCCTGGCCTCAAAATCTATGGAGTCCTTCCTCAAGGTGCCACACCACCCAAAACCTGCTCTTCCCGGGTCACCCTGGCTCTGGGCTGTTCCCCACTGGGGCCAGTTCCTAGGAGAAGCACTGGTGGGGCTGTGTCTTCCCCTGGGGCTGGGAGGTTGGAGAAGATCCCCTGGGTGACCCAAATGAGGGACTCTGGGGGCGTCATTTCCCAAACCTGTTGCCACATCCCCCGTCCCCTGCGTGGCAGGTGACAGGGATGCCATACCTGCACGCCGTGCTGGGACCCACCATCGCCCGGGTGTTCGAGGAGAAGAAGTACGTGGAGCTGGACCCCAGCAAGGTGGAGATCAAAGACGTCGGGTAAGGGGTGCGCGGGGCGGTGGGGCGGGGGGACCCCGGCCGTGGGGCTGAGGGTGCCGGTGCCCACAGGTGCTCGGGGCTGCACCGGGTGCAGACGGAGGGGGAGGTGATCGAGCAGGGCCGCCAGCACCTCCAGTCCTACCTGGGAGAGCTGATGGACACCATGGTCAAGTCGGCCCCAGCGAGTCCCCCAATCCTCCGCGCCGCGTTCCGGCGCCTCTTCCAGCGCGTTGGGGAGCGCTTCCCCCAGCACCAGGTCAGGCTGGGCTGGGGTGGAGCGGGATCAAACGGGGGGTTGAAAGGGGACAACGTGCCCAGCTTCGGTCGGTGAGGTCCCACCTTGGGAACGGGGGCACCAAACACCAACGCTGGTGCTGGCAGCCCATGGGAACGGGGGCACCAAACACCAACGCTGGTGCTGGCAGCCCAGCCCCACGTCCCTGGGATGTCGGCGGTGCCTGGGGACACCCCGTGTTGGGCCAGACCCTCAGACATCTCCCCCCCACACCCGGGTTGCCTGCAGCACACCAGGTTTGTGGCCGGCCGCAGC